CACCAGCTATTAATGACAAAACCAGTCTGCCATAGCCCCACTTCTGTTCTGCTCGGTGCTTAGAGGAAGTTAAACCAGCAGCACCGCCCCGGCGAAATGCAGCTGATTTGACCATTAAAGTGCATTTATTAAGCAAACGTTCAACTGAGAAACACCTTGGCTATAATTTCGAGCAAATAATTGTTTTAGGTGCTTTTCTTGTTAAATTTAGAAGAAATGAGCAGCGTTCCTCCTTACTGATGTCCTCCCTCGGCGCGCTCCCGCACAACAGAGGCAGTGAAACTATTTTTGAAATGCAGCTGATTTGACCATCAAAGTGCATTTATTAAGCAAACGTTAGTCTGAGGCACACCTTTACTATAATTTCCAGCAAAATAAATATTTGTTTAAGTGTTAATCTTGTTAAATTCTTGTTAAAAGTCCTCCTGTGCACGCCCCAGCAGCCGCCATTTGGTTGCCCATTGTTCTTTGACACAACACCGTTCCACATTTCCGGGTTGTCAGCGGTGATGCATAATAGATGTGACGTTTACGGCGAAGCGACATATTTATGGATTTTTCCACTTTATTAGACAAATATGGACTGATGCGACTTATAGGACGGAGCGACGTGTCCGTCGGAAAATACGGTAGTTTGTTTTGTTTCATTGTTATATATCTTTTATCTACTTTTCATTTTATATGCTTTTATATGATTGTCTATTGTTGGCTTTACCTCATCTGTGTTGTTTGTCTAAAACAGGTCTCTCTTGTAAATGAGTCCTACAGGCTCAATGAGACTAACCTGTATAAATAAAGGTTGAATGAATAATTAGTTGGTTATAAGTTTGGAGTGAAGGCTGCTATGTGGACAGGGAACCAGGACCTGGGGAACAGGTCCAGATGTAAGGGGTGGGGATCGAATAAAAATAAAAAATAAAAATTCAAAGTGTGTTTTTGATTGAAAGAAATAATCCGTCCCTATTATCAACCTTGTGTCAGTCCAGGTTGCAAAGAGTGGAGCATGCTTATGTGTTGGTCTAAAATAAGTGCAAGCATGCACAAGTTTAAAACTGAATTCTTCACAAAAACAAAAAAACTGAAGCATGCTTAAATAAAAATGAGCAGAGAAATCTGATCTAAAAGCAGTAACGAAAATGGTCTGTTTCTTTTTGTTACTGAACACATTTAAAATGTTTAGTTTAAAAAAAAATGCAGACATTCAGACTGAAGAAAGAAGTTATCTGATTTTCCAGTTTTTATATTTGTATAAGTGAATTTTAGTGCAAACTTCTTGTGCAAAAATAAATCTCCATGCCTATGTTAACGTTTCCCCACTAAGCTAAGGGAGCACATGCATGTGCAGAAGTTATACTTCATTCTGACAGTATCTTACCTGGCCTCTGATCTGGTCACTGTATACTCAAACCACAAGATGTTGGGAATCAAGCTTGTGTCTCGCACCAGGAAGTATTCCGATATTGGCCTATCAAAAGGCAATAAATCAAAAAGGGAATAAAATACACATAAATGTAGAAAAACCCTAATGACCTTTTCATGTTGCTGCATTCATTTTTATTGTCATGAAGAGGAGGAGGCAAACTGAAAGAGCTACTTACCACGCTGCAATTTTAGGGAATAATGGTGTAAGCACCTCTTGTGTGAAAAAGAACCAGATTATAGCAAATGTAGTGCCCGTTACTCCACCATAGAAAACCTGGCTCCAGGTGTGATACAACAGGTAGACCCTGAAAGTCAACGAGACATTAAAACTGTCTGACATGATGAATTTGCTTTCATTAAAAAACAAAAAAGGCAACTACTATTACTGCTGCTATAATACTGATGCTATAACAAACTTTTTTATATACACCGGTAGTTATATGTAGTTGCACATAATTAGGTGTGAGCATGTGAACTGTCACTATGTGCATCACAAATTTGATTTACTCATGATTATTGACATGATCAGCTACTGATCAAGATTGAAATTTTTATTTAATCACAAGTTCTATTCAATTCAACCTTTATTTATACATGCTAGAACAATAAAGTTCAACAAACATTCTTCATTTTACCACAGTTAAAATGGTGAACTCTGATTTATCTTGTCGGAGATCGGATAATATTACGACTCATTTAGCTTGGGATTGGTCATTTGCTGACACGCCTACTGAATTGATTGACAGGTCGTGTCATGGATCCGACTTGTGGGAAAAAAATTAATTAACGACAGCAGTAAAAAAAAAAAAGTCTCGTACAACTTTATTCTTAGTTGGAATATTAAGACTTTATTCGACTTTATTCTCATAATACTGACTTTATTCTCATAATACTGTGACTTTATTCTCATAATACTGACTTTATTCTCATAATACTGTGACTTTATTCTCATAATACTGTGACTTTATTCTCATAATACTGTGACTTTGTTCTCATAATACTGTGACTTTATTCTCATAATTTTATGGCTTTTAATTTTTTTTTTTTCCTTAGTGTGACAATGTAATTCTTTTTCTTGGTGTGGCCCTAAAGCTCCGTCGTATGTCAGAAATATTGATAGTGACTTCTTAAAACTGTGGTATACTGATAACCAGCCCATGCACTTCACCACAAATTCTATTTGCTTCAAAGTTTTATTTATGTTTGCTTAAACAACTAGTTAATTCCTAACTGGGGAAAAAAAACATTGCTATTTGGCATTTGTTTAGAAAATGTCAAAGCATTCTTGTCTAAAGTGTTTCTGAACCTAACCTCTTAATGTGATGCATGGAACAAGTGACCAATTTGGATTTCTGGCACATATGAGGGTAATTACTGTGCAGGCCACACTGTTGCTAATTTTGGGCTGCACATGAACATCTGCTGAGTCCCTCTGTTGGGACATGATGAAATTGATGTCACACTGACCCATGTCAACCAGAGCAGATGTGAGGAATTGATATATTTGCATTTCTAACACTAGCCGATGAACTTTAAAATAATCTAGCAGACAGCCTAATGTGCTTCTCAAAGGGGCATTCAGAACCCATTGTTATTGTTATTATGAAAATTAATGGATGAAAACAAACTACTCTTCGGTTTATTAGAATAGCAATAACCAAGACAGATTCTAGTAATTATTTAGAGACATAAAAAGTAGGCTATATGTTGGCATTTAAAGGGTTACAGCTTTAATTTATATGGTACAGTGGACATTTAGGAAAAAAATATATAGCGTATGAAACTCTGCCTATGAATCAACTGGATTTTGAGTTTTAGTTGAACTAATACATTTATTCAGATTGATCATTATAAGCATCATAAAATCTGTTTACAGAGCCTACATTATTTAAAAAAAATAGATTAATTTTAAAATCTATTATACATATAATGCAATCATCTCTTTACACTTAACATTACATTTATACTTTTTCGAAACATTAGGGATTCAAGGAGGTAAACTGAATGTACCTGCTGTATGAGACAGACGAGGCCATGCCCAACAGGAAAATGGACAGTATGTGTCTCCACAGAAGGTCAACACACCGAGCATTGTTCGTTTGATGCATTCTAAAAGATAAGCAAACATTTACCTCATTTAATGCTGAATAAATTATTAAAATTGCACCTGTAGTTCATGCAGCGATGACATTTACAATGAAATATATAACTAAAAAAAGAAATAAAACAAGCGTCTTGACATAAATATGCATATATACATTATACCAACTTAAAGATGTTCCTGTTTGCAAATTAACACGCAGCTTTGTTGACAATAAACTGCAGCTGGAAGTTGCACAGCCACATGCAACTCTTTGAACTTTAAGAAAATTCAAACTCACCTTAAATAAAGGAAAAGAAAGAAGTAAACAACAAAGAACCATGTAAGCTGGGAATGGTTAGAGGGCATCCCGTATTCTGCGTAGACAGTTGTGTGAACCCCTATAAAACGAAACAATAACATGGAGTTATTTGTATTTTGCGTAAGCATTTTGGTCAAGTTACTGTTACTATATAACGCAAATGTGAATAAACATTGGTTTCATTAAGGGGGGAGATTTTTTGGGGAGAACATCTGCATCACGTTTTAAATAAATCTGTTCTATTGTGATTCATTTGTCATGCAGGCATCCCTTTGTGTAGGTTAAAGTCTGTGTCTAAAATTATATCACTACTACGTAAAAACCATAATATAAAGTTCTCAAATGTAGAGAGAAAATGCAAACAGGTATTGAGCTGGTATCTAAATTATGACTTCCTTCACAACTCAAAGCAAATGGCATTAAGACCTGAAACTGTTCTGATGTTTTTGGGAAGCCAGAAGAAAATGGCTTGCCCTGTTACTCACCTGCACAAGGGCGTGGCTCCCTGAAAATTTGCTTCAGCAGCCAGTTCACTCCTTCATTTAGGAGGAGGCCACCAAAGAAGGAAATCTGGTTTTAAAAAGAATGAAAACCCAACAGATAAGCCCTCACACTTCCGCCCTGCTTCTTGACTTGTACTTAACATATAATTGGCACCTTCACACAGACTAAAAAGCCACTAAACCACACAAATCTTGCATGAACACCACTCACCGTGTGCAGCTCCCGTTTAAACACTATGAGCGTGATGAACCCCACAATAATAGCTACGGGTAGAAGACTGGTGTAGGCCAGCAACCGCCCCGCCAGGTCACCTAAAAACACAGTGACAGGATGCTTTTAACACACATTTGTAAAGTCAAGTGTTGAGGCAAACTCGTAGTTTCAGTACTAGTAGAATAAACAGAAAGCTTGTATGACATGATGGAAAAAGTAGTCGTAAAACCAGCACACCACACTATTCTTGTCAATTCACCAACTGGTCGTGATTGTGGTTTACTTATGTAAAAGGCCAATACGTTAGCTGGCAACAAAGCTACACGTGAAGAAGACAGCATTTTTTTTTTTAGCCCAGCTATAAAACATATAGTGAGATTATTAAGGCTTAAAGTTTACCAGATAATTCTCACAGCACATAGCACGTTCGTTAATTCTTGGTTGACAATAGTAAAGCCCATGTTAAGACAGCTAGGAGGCTAGCTAGCCTTCATTGTGAGCATTAGTACAAACTGCGCATGCGGTGCAGTCCCACTATTTAGCAACGTAAACCCCGGCAGCTCACTGCTCGGCAGGCACTGGCTGCTGTGTTCATTCAGCAGCAGCAAAACGTACACATCGCGCGAAGATTTACAAAGCACGTTTTAGTCGTCAACAAATACAAGTTTACGTGCCTTCCGGGAACTCGACGTGTGTCACTGATATGGCCTTCCATCGAGGTGGTGCCGAGCACTGGTCTTCCAACGCCATCTTACCCGGACACAACCGGGGAAGCTTGAGTGGAACGCCCGAGACACAGATCTGACCAATGAGGAGCCGAGTTGCATGTTCAAACAGGCCCCGGCTGGAGGAGCTGACCAATCACAGCCGCTCTCTGCACAAGAGGTATTTTATCCATAGAGAAGAATTATTGAATGAAGAAGAGTGAATGTGGGGGTGGGGGGTCTACCAATACGCTTTTAGGCTGCTGCACTCATTCAAAAAATAAAATGAATTAAAAAAATAGGCCATTTATTAAATTTAGGTTATTTATAGCATCAATAAACTTTATGGTCATCAAACATCAATTACCTTTATGGTAATCAAAGCTCCTGATGAAAGAAGTTAGTAGCACATCCATCATAATACGCCAAAGAAAAGAGATGACTCTTCAGTAGACTTCTTAAAGTCTCAATAGTTTGCATGGTGCAAATGTATATTTATCTATCTGTATCTGGTTTCATGGGTTGGATCTCGTTGAAAAGTGTTTCTCATCCTCCAGCAGGAAAAATATACGTCATTTGTATGTTGCAGCAACATTACTATCTAAATCTTTCAAAAATAATCAGAAACATTAACATTTTCTGAAAACATGCAAGACATAAAGTCAACTTTATACCATTTACAAAATGCAGAAGGATTAGGTGCACCTAATAGTAGTGAGTGTACCTCAGCTGTACACACTTGCAATCCACACAGCTTAGGAAGGAATAATACCAGTTATCTTCCAGTGAAACAGTGTTTACGACTGATGCACCTAATCTGGTTTCTGCAGCTCAAAAAATTGCACAGACCAAGACTTTAGAACAAATATATTGGAGCTGTTACAAAAAAGTCATCTGAAGGTTGAAGAGGCAGAGAAACCATGGATACAGAGACTCGCCTGAACAACACGCAAGAGAAGAACTATGACAACTTTGATGCATAGCCTACAACCTCATTTCTCTTATCTGGCATACCTCTGCAAACAAAGTAATTCATTCAAATTGAAATATTTTATACACAAAAAAAAAAAATCAAATGTTAGTACTCAGATGTGTAACATCTGTGTTATGCAGTCATCCAAATGTAGCAAGATAATAGTTTGAGTCAAATGTGGACGCTGATAATATAAAATGCCACAACAGTTCCAGTGTTAGAAAAATTCTGTTGTCACTGATTTCTTCTAAAATCTTATCAAGAAAACAGTTTCAAAACAGGTTTCTTTTCAAGGAATCAAGTAGCAAAGCTTAAAACTATAGTTTTGGCAGATGAGCGATGTTTCAAAGTACATCAAGTTTGTTTCTTAACACTGCCACTTAATAAATGCATTTATAAGATGTAGATTAGGGTAAACTTTATTTCTTCAGTGAGAAGTTTAACTGTTGAACTATGAAGTGAAAATGTTTTTAAACTTGTCTGCCATCAGAAATCACCGGTGCTCCCACTTTACGTTTCAAGAAAAACTTTGTACTTTTTATTTTATGTCTGCTTAAAAATACTAGTTACTATATTAAATAGGAATGATCAGATTTCATTTATCTCTGCAACCAAGCCTTCAGCTATGCCAACTACTATTTTAGTACATACTTTACTGATGTTAGCGCTATAAGCTAAATGCTAATAACGGTTAACTAAATGCTAACAGTGGCTCAATAACCTTTAGCTTAGCAAGATAACACCTGGACACAAACTAAGCAGATATCCAGAGTAGTAAATTGTGTTGATTATTTTTTAAGTGTGAAAATCCACATAATTTTTAAGGTTTTAGTTGTTTTAAGTTGGTAAAAATGTATATTTTTTGTCCATATATTTTAGGCACTCGCCCCAATTTTCTTAACGAAAGCCTGCAAATTACTTTCTACAACAGGTGAGTACTTAAAAGTACTTCACAAAATCTCACCTCATAGGACAAAAAAAAAAAAAAGATATTTTCTGTCTAGAGAAGGTTAAGGATTTAATTAAGCCAGTTGATCATGGAAGTTTTCAACAGTTTTTTGAGTCAATCCAGTGATTTTCAGCTATTTTACATGTGTGGCAGTCTAAAAGCTGTAAAGTTACAGTACATTCAAATATTGCCAACTGTAATAAATGTTAAGATTTTTAAGTAAACAATGATTCACGTGGTATTACCAAATTCTTTGTATATTCTTATTGAATGGGTTTACTTTTTGCACAAATGGCTTTCACAGAATGGTGAATAACTGTCCAGCTTTATCAACTATAGTTTTATTTTCAACGTGCACAAAATAAAAAAGCAGTTATTCTTTTGACTAAAAGTGTCAAATTATTTAAAGCAAAGCTGTTAGGATAATTATAAAAGTGTTTCTGCCACCTTCTGGACAATCATGCACCACAAAACATTTAATTCTGCTTTTATCAGCTTATTACAGGTCAAGATTTTACTTTTAATGTTTGTTCCTTTTTTTTTTTTTTTTGCCAATTGCATCCAATAATTTGGCTTCTGGTGGAAAACAGAACAAGAAATCATCAGCTGGACAAAGGCATTACAAGCATTTTCATTTAATCACAAAATAACATTTACACACAGCGCTGCCATCACAATAGAAAAGACAAAAGGCATGAGTAGGACACTTGTAATGTAACACAGTGGGAAAAAAAAAAAAATCAACATTTTGGCCATTTGAAATAACTAAAATAGTCAAATTTCTGCTCTATGCTCAAAAGCCCATCCTTAAAATCAACCTATTTAAACCGTTTAATGTTTACCTAAATGTATGTTTAACTGGTATTTTTAACATGTGCAAAAACTAGGATTGAGTCATAGATAACAACGAGGCATTTGAGAATTTATAATGTTAACCAGCAAAGGTCCAGGTCAAAGAAAATGTTCATTTGATCATAATAGCTAACTTTAACCTTCATACCGATACTTTACAAAATCATTAAAACATGAGAGGACGTGTTTTTAATGCAGCTCAACATGAACCAGATCACTCAGAATGAAAAGCAAGACTAAAATAATTTAAAGGACACTTTGACAAAATCTTACAGTAACTATTTGTATATTGTCTTCTGGGAACAGATCTTATACTGCACAGAATTTATACTCTATCGATATATACACATCATTTATGCGACGTAATAAATAAACAGTTTTTATATTAGAACTTTCCAAGTGATTACTAAGAAAATACATTCCCGTGATTTTTTTTTTTTTTTTGTTAAAAAACAAAATGTAAAAATTACAAAGTAAAAGATGAAAACTCGTCAAATAAAGAACTTTTATTTTCCTGTAAATGCTTTGGTCCATGTCGGATTTTTAAAAAATCCAACAACACTGACCCTTTGTTCAACTAACAGAGTTCAGGGAGCTGAGAAAAATCATTTCTAAACTCAGAAATTGGATTATCAGTGCCATAAATCACATGTATGAATGTAAAAATAAAAAAAGTAATAATCTGTATTGTGAAATACAGTAATTAACAAAGAGCAACAAAAACAAAATGATCAGGCAGGAAGTTTTCTTTCTACACAGGCATCCATACAAATACTGCGATTTAAGGGACATAAAATATTTTTATATTATGTTAGATTTATCAAAGCTGATTTAGTATCTCGTTTCTACATAAATTACAACTGACACACAACCTTTCTTTAAAATATATTTAATCTTCAGTGCACTTATGGAAGTTTCAGTCTAATGTGCTGTTTTTCACTGCAGATCTTTATATAATCAAAAAATATAATTTAAGAAAGTGGCACTGTTTTCAGTTTTTTAATGTGTTCATGATTTGATGTAGAAAAGGTGGGTTAAAGGAATAGTTCAGATCTTTTAAGAGTGTGGTTTTGTACAAAGATTGTGAACAATTTGTATCCTATTTGTTGTAAACAGTTCTTTAAACAACCTCATTTTGTAGAAAAAATAAAAGATTAATTCTGACCAGACTGATGAGCTGTTGTCTTAATCCAAACAGGGTCGGACCAAAGTGGATTGTTGGCTTCTTAAAACAACTCCAATGTCAAAAAAGTCACAGCGGTTCAAGCAAAAGCTTTACATTCTAGTCAGTTTTGTAATAATTAATCAGACATAATATTACATAATTCCTGCTCGAAGTGCCTCAGTTTGTACTGGAAGTGCCATAATTAGCTGTTATGTTTTCAAAAATCCATATTATACAAAAATAATCTGAGTGAGAACCTTCAGGCACCTCACAAATTGATTGGATTACAAATCCAAGAGGGCTGAGCGTGATTATGAGTAGATGCATTTTGATCATCTTAAAACCTAAATGGCCATGGGTCTTTTGCATTAATAAAAAAATGTGTATATTTTCATGGGAGGACACAACTTGTCAAATAACCCAGTTAAACGCAGTCTGATTAGAACAAATAGCATAGACGCTAACTTGACATTGAAAACGCCGTACACAAGCTAATACAATTAGCATCATGTGTATCATTAGATGCGTTTACACAATTTAACATATTTCAAAGTCATTACTAAAGACGGTCATGGTATGATCACTTTAACCATTATTTACAGACATATATATTAGGGATGCACAATATTATCGGCATGGTATTGGTATCGACCGATATTAGCGATAAAGTTAAATATCGGACATCTGCCATTCCATCAAAATAACTCACCGATATAAAAGGTGACATAAATGTTGTACGTCCCTAATATATATATACAGTATATTCATTAAAGTTTGATAAAAAATATTTAAAAAAAAAAAAGGTGTGAAAACATTTACTGCAACATTTGTTTTCAACAGGAAGCTACAGTAATTTCACTAGGACAAACCACAACTACTCTGCGTGCTACTCTTATCATTAATGAAACAATGGTTGATGTTTAAAAATGAGATCGAAATCTTTCATGTTTACAATACGATGCATCTAAAAATAGATTTTAACCCACGCCCCTAGTAAATAACCATGCAGTGCATTATTGATGGCATCATCAAGGCATTAGCATGAACTGCTATGAATTTTTTTTTTTAGATTGGAGTTAAAAAGACAGCGGCAATCCTCTTTAATCTTGGCCGCGCTCAGACTAGCAGTTAGCTCGTCAATCCGACCAGAATTAAACTCTATTTCTCTTGAGACATCTTGAGACTGTTTCTATTTATTGTTCATGTAAGATATTCATTACATTTCTGAAGAACTATTCAGAAACTGAATTGTGGCTTTAAAAAAAATCATGTTTGAAAGTGACCTCACGCAAAACCCAGGACCCTGACTTCTAATCATAAGATAAGATAGAATTTTATTGATCCCACAGGAAATTGTTGAATCATATATGCAATTTTACAACAAAAAAAGCTGTGGAAACATTAAGTGTCGGTTTAGTGTGACCTCAACAAAGCCATAAGTAGCATTAGGGGTAGCACACATTTTCCACTTCCCCCAAGAAGACAAGCCAATATTTTCTGCTGTTTTTAAGGTTATGCAGTGAAAAACAGTGTTGTACATCACTTTATTTGCAGCATGTTGACTTCGATTTTAAAAAGATGCCCAGAAGATCCTATTAATTAAAATGTACCACTGAAACACAAACTTACATCTTGACATATAGCTCGTGTTTGGATAGTTTAGCAGATTGTGCAAATTAGACCCGGATATCGAAAAGCCATTTAAAATGATAAAACTAAATTGCTATAAATATTTTAATGCCACTTTTTGTAGAGATCCAGTCAAATCACCCTTTATTTTCTGAGAACACTAAAGTGTACTAAAGTCTTGCGTCTTCCGTTCTTTCACATCTTCCAAATTAGGATAAATGCTTAATGTTTGTACAGCAGGTAATCTTTTAAATGTGCACCTCTGTCATGTCATTGGACTCAAACAGCAGCTTTGGGATGATGTAACCTGTGAGTATAAATGTTGGCCACAGCATTATTTTGCATTTATACCCACTTTTAGTAACAATTTTAGTCAATTTGATAACACCTAAATGGAAACCTGGGGATTAAAAAGGATTTAAGAACATGTGGAGAGAAAACTAAGCAACACACAAAGATGACTCCATTCTTTCCACATAATAGTGAACGTTACAATGTTCAACCCAGTTCCACAGTTTCATTGTGTAAATACTTACGTAGAAAGACACAGTCCTGATCAGTTGGAGGCGTTTGTCAGCCGTGTTTTTAACGTTTACCCAACGAGGCAGAGACAAGTCCTCGCACGTCTTGGATTATATGATTACAGTAGACATTCTGGATATGCAACAAAGCAGCAACGCAAGGAGGAAGTGGAAATTCTCGATCCAACCAGTTTCTATCGTTGTTGATGTGGTGAAAGATATCTGATGCTAGCTGCAGGCTTAGGAGCACAGATGAATGAATGAATAATGCTGATTCTCCGTGTAACACAGAAGGAAGGTTCAGTCAAGACTTGACGTAAGCAGAGATCAAGGTTTGAGTTGCATTTTCTTCACACTCCTGCGTATCAGCTAAATGAAGCCCTTCGTGAACCTTGCAGGTCCCTCAGGAGCCCATATCTCTTGGCATGGCACCATTAAGTTCCACAAAACTATCGATTCCCAGATACCCCAGTAAGATTTCACTTCTCCGGTGAGAGAGCTTCAAGACGTCCTCAGCCAAGCACTGAACAGTGGTCAATCGGACCTTGTCATGATCGAACATATCCTTAAGGTACTGCACGATTTGTTGCTGCAGGTGAAAGGACAGGAGTTACTGACAGGCACAGTCACTTTAATAAACTGGATCAATTACTCGTCACAGTCGCCATTTATTTACCTAGAAAAGTGCTTCTGCTTTGAACGAGAAGCATGACGGATCTGAAAGTACTTTACATCTGATTTGGCTTCCAATTTTTGATTCTGATCTTTTTTTTTGTATGTATTCTTTTATATAGACTGTACAACTTTAGAGCTGATTTGAGCTGCTGGTTTTATGTTGTGTTTCTGTATTTTATTATTTAACTTTACCTGCGTTTCCTTAATGATACAAAATAGTTTTTGGTTTTTTTTACATTTCTTTTTGACAGTTGTAAAGCACTTTAGTCATTTTCTGCTTTTATGTGCTATATAAGTAAATTGGCAACTTTATAGAAATGTACATATACAAAAGTCTGAAAACCAATTAAAACTCTTATTACCTAGTGTGATGATTTCATGACATCTAGTGGCAGCTAAGTAACCCTTTCAAATGTGTTGAAGAGGCAACAACCTGATCTACAGGATAAATACTATTTTTCATCTCATAGGAGGATCTTGTGAGCTTCAAAAGTTGGTATTGCAAAAATAACATTTAGCATCAATTTCCCAACTCCAAATATTTATTCCTGTTTGTGGAAAACAGCTTTATGGTTTATCATGGTTGCAAGAGTTTAAGACAAGTTGCTCTAACAAAACCCAAGACTCACCTTAAAAATTGTGCAAACTTCATTCAGATGCTGCCTGGGTCCTAAAAACCCGAAAGCTAAAACAGGGCTCACGTGCTCTGATATGGCATAGAAGTGGGAGATAAACCCATCAGCAACCTACGAAGAGAAGATACTGAGAACTGGACCAGAACGATAAAGAAAGTAAAGCAATAAAAACGTTTCAAATAGGCTGAAGTTTACCAGAAGAAGACGCCTTTTTGCTTTTAACACAGACCAGCAAGCAGTGGCCAGAGCCTACATGGAAAACAAAACTCTTTTTAGAGACTGTATAGTGATGGGGTGAGTGTGTGTGTGCGTGTGTGTGTGCGTGCGTGCATAATAACTAACTGTCTCTTTAAAGCTGTCGGAGAGCCAGCGGTTCCTGAGCACGGCTACCACAGAGGAAGGAGGACTCTCTAGGTCTTCAAATGCGTCCATCAAAATGAAATCCAACACTATGTCAAAAAAGTTCATACACACCACCTGCAGAAACCACAAAACCACTCAGAAAATGTTCATATGAAACCAGTTTACATAAACGTGAGTACATGTGTGACAACTGAGGATGTATTAATACCTGGTTAGTCTTACATGAATAACCAGATTAATAAAGGCACAACAGCACAAGCCATTCTAACAGAAGCACCTATATGCAGTTCTTTTGAAAACCACTCACCCCTCGACCCTCCAGCTCCATCTTAGTGATGGGCCACGTTTCCTCTCTCTGGGTGTACAGCAGCATGTCTTCGTAGCTCTCTAAGAAGGCTTTGGGACTCTGAGCACAAAGATTATTTAGACCTTTAAATGTGTGCGCAGAATCAGATTTTTTCCAGGATGTGCCGAGTCAAGATTGTCTTATTTTACCTTGTTTGCCTTGACCATCAGCCCTGCGATCATCTGTTTCCCTGTCTCCATAAAAAAGGTGCGATGAGTTTCATCCAACAGCAGAACCTGAAAATATAAATTTATTAGTTCATCATCTTTCAACAATATTGGTCAGTTTCTACTACGTGTCTAATATACTGAATGTCTCACATGAGCTTCTTATGTCCACAAACCCAGTCAGCTCATTGACAATATGACTTTGAACAGCTCCTTTTATAACTTCAATTGTGCAATAATCCAAATATATCTCTTGTAATAAATAATGGAGCTGACAACTTATTGATTCAATTAGAGATGC